ATAAATATTTATACTTTATAAATAAATATAATGTTTTCTTTGGTTTTGATCGAATATCCATGTTTGTCTTAAACATTTTTATCCTTATACCGTAAGTATGCATGGTGTCCAAAGATTTTTGACCGGCAGTGTATGTATGTATATATGTGCTTTAAGAGATAGATACAATTGAAATGTCTGAAAGCAAGTAGATTGAATGGAATAGAAAGATCGAACATCAGTCGTCCTAATGACATCCCGTAATTTCAAAGGCTCTTTTGTCAAGGAAGAAGGAGAACATCGCATTTAGGTATCATTGGTATTTGAAGGGTTTTAAGAGGACGCGAAGACAAGCAAAATTATCCGCGTCATTTGTTTCCAGTAAATTTTCGCGTATCACAAAAAATAGTCAGTAAATTCATCTATAAAAAATTTTGATTAAAAAAAAAGATTCAAAATTCCTCAAAAATATGAGATAAATTTTATCACTACTCTCGCAGTCGGATCTTAAGAATGATACAATATTTATTACATTATTAGAAAATAATTCAAATCATATTAATTAATAAATTGTTATGATTTAACAAGCTAAATTGTTTCGCGCTTTTCTCATTTGTCCGTAATGTCGAACGTTCTTTCACCAATAGTTTTTTTTATTGTTTTCTCGTACCTTTTTGTTCTTCTTTTTCACTTCGCCGAAAGTCGAAACAGCGCGCGAGTGCAAGCTTTTTTATTTCCTGGCACGAATCGGAATTCGTTCCCGTCGCTGCGACGGCGGCGGTCGGGAACAAGACGCTTCCTTCGTCTGGAGCGACACTCGAGGAACCCCTAAAGATAGCGACACCCCGCCACGTGTCGACTAGCAGACTTCCGACCGTTTCGTCATCTCAACGGACACTTTCCGCGAAATTTGCGGTGATTTTAGTGCGCCAGCAGTCCGCGAAATTACGTCCACGCTGCTTCTTTTCGTATTTTAAGCGTGAGAAATGCTCATTAAATTAAGAAAATGAGATTGATGATTAGCAATTCCTATGTTATAAAAATCCGTTGAATGAATAGGTTCTGTATATATGAATGGGTTCGGTATATAAAGAAATATATATCTAGTTAAATGTGAAATGTATAATAAACAGAAATACAAAATGTGCATTGCTAAAAAAATAAACAGATTCCTCCAAAATAGATTGTTAAAAAATAAGTCCTTAAAAATATAAATTTAAAATTTACTTAAATGTAATCGAACAATCAACAATTATTCTTGAGATTATTTTTTATATAGACATAAAGAGAATAGAGATTTAGTAACTTTTTATTTTGAATTATTCAAATCTTTCTTTATCTTTAATTTAATAGTTTATTCGTAAACGTAATTAAAGCAAAAACATTTTTTTAATTATTATTGAAATTATTATTTTTAAAATTATTTTATATTATTTAGAATTAATTTGTTGTATTATATATATTTATATATATATTATTCATATATACATTATTTATATACGTTAACAGAAAAATTTCTCTAACAAAAAAGTACTTAAATCCTTAAATATTAACGTAATTATTCTAAATACAACACCAATCGCGATATAATTTAATAGCAAGCTGAGCTTGATTCTAATTAATTTCTCGGGCCACATAAATACCTATTCTCCTACATAAGTTTGCATATGTACTATGTTTAGCTGGTACGTTTATGTACACTATATTACATTTACATTTTGCGTAACATGATATATAGTAAACCTCTGTAAACCCTATATAGTCTTTCCCGATCTTGCAGCCTATAATTTACATTTACGGCCGTGCAACATAACGATCTAAAAAGAATATTTAACGCGAAATAACTAACCGTGACTCGACATGCGAATGAACGTTTATGTCTTACTAATTTCCATAGATTTATGATCTTTCACCTCTTTCTTGGCCTTTGCATTCTCTTCTGAAAATTATCCGCAATCTTTATATTCTATCTATAAAGTTATTCGACAAAATTATACTTTAATAACATTAAGGCTAAGAAGCTAGCATTTGTCAAATTTTTATTCGCAAATAAATCAATTGCCAAAAAAATATAATATATTAATGTGTATTTAAGGATGAATATTTTTTTAACCTTTTTGGTAATAAAGTCATATTATTGTTTAGGTGAAATTAAAATTTCGCGTTTATTATTCTTACCAGTTTTTTATCCGACTTTTTGGTCAATGTATGTTTGTTAGACAGAAAAAGTAATAAAAGACAATTAATACATAAGTGAAAAGATAACAAAACAAAACTAGTTTTATGAAAAGGTACGAAAAATATTTTTCTTCCGCAATTTCAAGTACGCTGAATGTTTTTCAGCACCAGGTTACCACAATTTTTTTCCCGTTATATAATATACAGATAAATCAACACAGATACTGATAAGTGCAAATAAGCACTTCATATTTGCACGCACACATATATCCGTTATACGCAACGAATATTCTGGAATTATATATAGTGCACGTTTTATCCTCGTTACGATAACGATCTCGTGTCGCAAAATAATTTCCACTTTGATTCGCTCGCGTTTTCGCGCTCGTTAGCAGCGTGTAAAGAGAAAAGAAAAGATTTAACCGTGATTTCTATCAACATGCGACTCAATAAATTGTCGTACTAGTCAACGAATCAATCGAGAAAAAGAAAGAGAGAAAAAGAAAGAGAATTATCACTTCGTAATATCGGCGCCGCATGCACGATCTGATAATGCGTACTTACTGAACTATTTCTCATTAGGTCGGTTGGCAAGTAATCACGGTAATGTGCATAAATTAACAGCCTGGCGCACGAGAACGTAGAGTCGTTGTAAATTTGCGAACACGTAGGTTAAATTCAATGTGGATATATTAGATTTTCGGCATTCAATTCGGCGAGCAAATCAAAAACGTATAGATTTTCTTTTTTTAACGGAAATATAGATTTTCATAAATTTCTTAACAAAGAAAATAGCATTTTGCTTCATATATTATTGATTAACAAGATTAAATCGATAACTACATCTGATAACATGTAAACTTTATATGTAAGATTTTGTTAAAGACAAGTTTTTGAGGGAAAGAATATTTTTCTAATTATAATTTTCATTTTATGAATAATTATTTTTTATTCATTTAATATTGTTCAACAATTTCTTTTCTCTGTTGCAGCAAAATTATCTTATGAAATTCGGTTACTTACCTCAGACTGATTTGGAAACAGGAAATCTGCGGATGGAAGGCCAACTCAGGGATGCTATCAAAAATCTTCAGGTAAGTAAAATTACGATATAAAGAGAGATAAGATTTCATCTCGTCGTAAGATATACAAATGAGAAATCGTGTAGTAATTTAACACCTCCGTTCTTGTAGAAAAAAATACTATTGAATTAATAGAAAAACTATTGGAACGCGAATAGTGGACAATATTGGATTCGAATGGTTTTCCAATTATTATTTCCAATCGTTTCCATTTTTTTGTGAGTCCAATAATATTTTTCCAAACAGGCAATTTTTATTTTTTTAAATAAACTGCTTTTTTTCTGCTTCTATATGTTGCACAGAATTTTCTATGCAATTTGTTTATACAATTTTAGAATTTTAATTGAAATGTTTTACTTAGTTCTCCATTTTATACATATAATTTAATTAACTTCTGTAATTTGGCTTACATTAACTCTTATTTTCGTTGCAATTTACGTAATATAACATTTTAAAGTAACAAAAATTTATATCAAATCGTAGGATTTACACCAATAGAGTGAATTTCTTTATTTTTTCATCTTGAAAACGTTATTCATCGATTCCCCGGAAGTTGTCGCGAATCGATAGGAATTCTGTCGAAAGAAATAGAAAAATGGAGCACAAATGTCCTAAGGGATTTCGTCAAATGCTGCCATACATCCTTCTTATTCTCGATTCATATGTAAATCTTCATTGAGCGAACGCGCGAAATCGGAATTCTTACTATTTTTCTCTCGCAAATGTCTGCATTCCTAATCATTGTCTGAGAGCAATAGGGCTGGATGGATTGCTGATCGAAGGGATCAAACTCAAACGCGAGATGAAACGCATTGGAATGCTTTGCATATTCTAATCTCAGATCTAAAGCTCGGGTTCCATCTGTAGACTACGTCTCTCGATGGTTTTATCGATAATCACGTTTGTCAGATTCCGGACGCGTTTCTAGTTGAAATGTTCGAAAGCGTTTATCTCTGTTCAAAATGATAAAAAAGATCTTCTTAAACTAGAGGAAGCGATTATATCTTCCGAGAAAAAATGCGCAAATGATAAAAGGGAATATTTATCGTTTAAAACGCTTATCATTTAAACGGAGATATTGATTCAAACGATGCGATTATAATTCGATACTTTTATTAAAAAATGTTATATTAAATTTTATATGTACAGAACAAATAAAAAGAAAGTATTTGTGTCTTTAATATAAGTATTTTATATATTTTTATTTTGATTTATAATATATATTTTTATAGAAAATATAGAAGAAGTAATTATTAAAAGGATAATTGGTATTATTGTAAATAATTATATTTACAATGCCCAGCGTTTTTTATTTTTTTAAATATTATGATTACATAATTTATGAAATAAATGGAATTTTCAATTTGTGATATTTTTTACGATACTTAAAATAAAATTTCAGTTTTATGATTAAGTACGTTAAATTCGCATGAATCGTGTATCTTTTCAATTTTCAGAAATTCGGTGGTATTCCCGTGACGGGGGAGATTGACGAGGCAACAAAGAAGTTAATGAAGGCCAGGAGATGCGGAGTATCGGATCATCCAGATCCCAGATTCGTCAAGACAAGGCATAAGCGTTTCACCATCCATGGACAACAATGGCCGTATCGAAATCTCACCTGGAGGTAAATATACCTTATTACATCAACGAAATACAGTAATTTTAATACAATTACTGAGAATAGTAAAATATGGCATAAACCAGATGTATAAAATAAGACGAGATTTGACAAAAACTCCATCTTTTTAAAAATATATATTAAAAAAATATTATAATTAAATATTTTATATTAATATATTATTATATATCTCAATTTTTATCCGAGAAAATTGAGAACAAAGTCATGCAGTTTACCTTCGGTTGAAAATCGTTACTCAAGAATCCGTATAATTTCATCGACGAGGACGCGTTCGCGGATGAGTTGCAAGTCACGCGTTGTCGAGATGCGGCACGGCGGTGCGATTTTCACGGCAACGAAAACTGGTGGACGGATTTATTCGCGGCTCGTCGAGGAGAACGATAATAATATCCCCCGCGCTTCTCGACGCGACGATAATTCATCTGTGGGGTACCTGTTGGTCTGAGTCGCTCTAAACAGGATGTCTGGCCCCTTAATTGCGAGCTTCCTTGTGTCGGGACCTCGCCCCGCATTAACGCACTAACCCGACTCGGAAATGCCATTGACATTGTTGGTACTCGGCCAACAGGCGAAGGTTCTGAGACCCCTCGCAAATTGTAGAACGGTGAAAATACTGCAAAAGCATTTTCTTGAAAAGATTAGACACGCTTTAGATGCGAAGACGGTATTTGCACGCTCTTCTTGACACGCAAGTCTCCGCTATCGGAACATGTTGTGAATTTTAATACTTGAGCCTTTGAAAGCCTATATGATACCTTTTATTTTCAACATATAATACTTTTTCTGTTTAATTTTTTAAATAAAATGTTTCCTCAGAAGTATGTCTATGCAAAAAATATATCAATTCATTTCGATAAGTATTTATGTATTATCAATGTTTATGAGATTTCTGTGTGAGAAGTAGATATATAAAAATAAGATATAACATTTTCTTATTTACTCTTTATATGCAATTAAAGAATTTGAAAAAGAAACTAGTATATATTCTGATTAGTTAATGATCAGAACATATATTTACTCTTAGTGATTTAAATTTATTAATAAATACAGTGTTATTTTCTGTATTATTCATGGTTGAGCTTGAAGAGTCAATTAATTTTAATATTTGCGAATATGTATTGAATGTCAACGATAAAACAGATCTCTGTTGACTTGAATCATGCCGGTATCACAGAAAACTAACAGATTCGCGTTGATACGAAGAATAGCTGCAATATCGGCTTTACTTTGATGCGTCATGTGGCACCCTCTAGCAATCAATTGATAGACGTGACTTTATTGATTTATAATTAAACAAGCGTTAATTAAACAAAGTATTAAATTAGGAAATAATTCACATTTACATTCATTTGTCGGAATAATTTGTGTCGTATTTATTGCGTAATGATTGCGACATTTTATTTTATTTTTACACAAGCTTAGCTTATAAAATTATAATTTTTTTATTGATATAAATATTATTTGTGTTTAACTAATGTTGTCGCTTAATTATTTTTTGATAATTATACGTTTTGAAATATTACAGAAGATAGAATAATATAGGAAAATTAAAATAATATGTAGAAAACATATATTTTTAACGATTTCAATTTATGATACATGCATTACACAGATTGCACATTTATGCCAATATATTTTTACTTTTTATCGTGTTTACGTATATCACTTTGCAAGCTTGTGCAAATTTTTAATGAACATCATAAATGTCCTGAAACTTTAAATTCGTTAGACTATATTTAGCAGAAAAAAGATACATATTATCAACGAACAAACAAAATATGTTAAAGTCGACAGAATTGCTTGTTTTTCTTACGGCTCGTAATTTATTATCGTTATTATTCTCTTTAATTAACTGTGCATCGTTTAAAGTGCATTTACGTACTCCCGAGTTGCAACTTTGTGACTGTTGCTATCTGGTACGATATTTAGCGTAGTCACTAATATTCATGTATGCTAATTAGCTCGAATCATACGGTGAGCCCATTAATTAACCACCTTAATGAATCGGATCTTCCGTCGGCAGCGAGAAAGACCACGAAAAACATCTCCGTAATTTTCACTCTCGTCGGGAAATTCTACGGCGACCGAACCCAAATTAAAGTGCGTAACGACATGGATTGAACAGATCGAGCAATTAACTTCGTTATCCGGTTATCATGCTACAATTCCCTCACGAATTCAGTGAATCCATGCAAAAAGGCCAAAGCCGAACAACCAGCCCTTTGTGTACAATTTCGATGGGGGCAAATTTGACAGATTTTCGCGCGTGTCGAAAACGAGGGTTCGTTTGCCTTCCTAACTAGGCTCTATTTGTTCCTTCCGGTGCGCTTGGTATCAAAGGAGGATACGAGTTTTTTTATGGAGAGAATTTTTGCGAGACTCTGTGCATTAAAAATGCCATTTTACAATAATTCGTATTTTTATTTTATTTTTATCTTTTGTATTTTTATTTCATTTTTAAATACATTTCTTTATATAAAAGTGTTACTTCGTGCATTTAATAATCCATATCGCGGTTTGTCTTGAAAATTTTATCCTCGGTCTGATGAAGCTTTTTTTTGAAAATAAATCTTTGTAGTAAAAATATTTATATTTTGTCGCTTCTTAAACATAATTATTTTAGCTCTATAAAGTTGGCAGGACCAAATCAGCAGAATCAAATCGGACTTATCGGAATTTTTAGTACCCATTTTGTACTAAATTGTACCATCAATAATAATTTTGTGCCAGGAGGCACAAGGAATGTCTCCAGGAGGAAAGAAGAGGAAGAAAGATGAACTGGTGCAAAAGTTCAGCCAAAAAAAACAGGTCTATGATATACAATTGTTTTTGGTGGTACAAAATGGTACAAATTCAATCCTATTGATTTCTGATATTATTTTTATTTTTTTCTTTTTTTTTTAATTGGTCCTGCCAGCTTAATATTAAGCTAGCAGCGCCACGATTTTCTTGGAAATGGCACATAGTATAAAATTATTATTGATGGTACAATTTAGTACAAAATGGGTACTAAAAATTCCAATAGGTCCGATTTGATTCTGCTGATTTGGTCCTGCCAACTTTATAGAGCTAATTATTTTTATGATTAGCAGAAATTATTTTTTTTTATTTGCAATTAAGTGCGATTTTAAGTGTGGGATTACGGGAAAGAATTAGAGTAGAGACAAGCTCTGTGTCTTAATGGAGAATGTGGCGTAAGAAATTAACGGCGACGGCACTTCCGCTAATTTTCTTTACGATCTTTCGAGCGAGTAACTCGTTGAAATTAACGTCTTTGGAGTTTCGAACGTGAATTTTATATTCCTTCGTTCCCATAAATTTCATTTCCCTTTGCTAAATTTTATTTAAGTAAACTACTTGAAAGTTATAATTCAGAACAAATTTTTAATAAACAAATAATATCAAAAGGCTACGAACCAAGCTGGATGATTTTTTCTAAAAGTTTTTTATAAACAACGGATCAAGATTGATAACATAATGTATAAACAATAATTAAGCACAAACAACATAAATAAGTAAGGAATATGATATTAAAGATTATCGATAATAGATAAGTTATTTTACATTACGAATTATAACAAATAAATAATATTAATCAGAGATTAATCTCTTTTTTACTCAGTGAGAGCTCAGTGAGCGGTCGTCGCTTCTGAATGCACCCATTATTAATAAAACAACTGCCATTAATACTCCCATCAATACTCCCCGATACAAAAAAATTACTTAGAATATAGAAAAGCGCTTCATGCCTCTTGTAGTAACTGTAGTTTATTGTTTTAGTGTCAAAAATATGACTATAAAGTTCAACTTTATGTATTCTAACCCATATTAACGGAAAGTCTTGCAGCTAAGGAACTCAGATTTTTAATATTTATATGTATAAATCACCGAATATAATGCAAGAAAGATATTTAATAATTTTTTTTATGGAAACATCCAAGCCTTATTAATTTTTTTATAACATTTTTTCATACTTTATTATATCATATTTGAAAAAAATTACATGTTTTGAAATATTGAAAATTTCATAATATTATAATACTTAAAAAATAATAACTGTTAGTGTGTGTTGTGTGACGAATATTTTATATGCCGGACTCTCGTGATATGGGACTGTTGCAATATGAGAATTTGTATGTGATTTAGAATTCTGGACAAAAGGAAATGTTGTAGTATTGGCTTAAGAACTGTCACTGTTTACAGGACATGAATGTTTCCACGGTTGACTACGTGAGCCGCGAAAGCATAGTTGGATTCATTGTCGTCTTGTACGCGACGGTTTGTATAGTCAACTGGACTTTGAGGAGATAAAGATAAATCCCTAAAGCGCTGAAAGTCAGAAGTTGATCCATCGTGTTTGTCTTTGCGATATATATCAGGGAAAAGTCGCTCTATAAAATCGGGAGGATACGTATTTTCAGCATGGTATCAAAACGTTTCGCTCGATCGCATTGGAATCTTAAGTAAAAGAATAAAAAGGAATAAGAACACTGTTGATTTTACCTGTAGAATACATCCGTGATGTAATGAGTGAAAAAATTGCTATTTTTATCAGTTATATTATTGATATATTACGAAAGAAATTACTTTATTAATTGTATTAAATTAATTTTTCTTTCTAATTATTATAGGACATAAAATAATTTTTAAATAAAATGTACGAATTTTAATTAGAAATACAGATACACATATGGAAAAAACATATATTTATTTATTGGATGGAATATAAAAGAAATGAAATACATCAGTTGTCTATTCTGTTTGAGAATTATACAATATTTTAAGTAGATACTAAAAGCCTAACTTTGCTTTCCGCTGTTTTAAAAAATATAAAGCTTCTACAACTTCTGCTTTTTATACATCGAAATAATTAGTGCGACTCCATTATTGTTGCTACGCCGTAAAAATATTTAAGACTCAAGAGTCTTAAATAAATATTTTTCTAATGATAGTCGTAAACAAGAAGTTCACGAATTATTTAATCG